GTAAATCCAGTCTTTAGTGGTCTTGGCACCTCTTCCTTTCCATGTTTTGACGGTGAGTGGCCCTGCGTAGTCCACACCTGTATGAGTGAACGGTCGTGCCTGCGTAACCCGAGAGAGAGGTAGTTGGCCCATCAATTGATGAGCACGGATCCCCCTCTGCCGAGCACACGTGACACACCGCAGAATGTGAGACTTGACAGGAGCCCTTCCGCCGAGAATCCAGTATCGTTTTCGGATGTGCGACAGCGTAAGTTGCGTGCCTCCATGTAGAGTCCGTTGATGGGCGTGAGCGATGATAAGTGACGACAGCTGAGAGTGACGAGGCAAGATTACAGGATGTGTCGCATCGAATACGAGAGCTGCGTGAGCGAGTCGTCCGCCGACGCGAATAACTCCTTGAGCGTCGATGTACGCAGTCAATCTGTTGAATGCGTGTGCCTTCGCCAACGGGGAGTCTGCCTGTAATGCCTTGAGCTCGTGCAAGAAGTACGTTGCTTGAGTGGCCTGAATCCAGAAGAGCCTCGCTTTCTCCAAGGTCTCTGGAGAGCTGACAGGCCATGAGTCGTGGACTTTCCTCAACCGTGAGACGAATCTGAAACAGAGAGCTGTAATCCTCAATAGTTTAGTGAGGTTTGAGTACCTGTGGATGAGGTCCCATTGATATTCAGCCTTTGGCGTAACCGTCAATAGCGAAACGCCTGGGCGAGCTTCTGTAGCACTCATCTCGTCAGAGAGTGCTGGTTGCGACGGCCATGAGTCTGAATTGATTATCCATGGTGGTCCCGTCCACCAGAGTGCGTGGTTTTGAAGTTGTGTGGTCGTGAGGCCTCGTGATGCGCAATCAGCCGGGTTGGAAATTCCAGGTATGTATCTCCAGTGAGCAGCTGGAGTGAGTTCTCGAATTTGAGCCACCCGGTTCCTGACAAAATCCTTCCAGCGTGATGCATGAGATCTGATCCATGAACCTTTCACAGAGGTGATCCATGAAAGTGTCACTAGAGATTCCGTCCACATGTGAGTTGCCGTTACGTCCATGTTCAAAGTGGCTTTGACGTATTGCATGAGTCGAGAGAGCAGTAGATCACTCTTGAATTCAAGTCGCGGGATTGAGAGCCGCTGGAGAGGTGCTACCTTATTCTTGGAGCACACAAGTGAAAACGTGGCGCCGTTTGAGTCGTGAACGGATATGTATATGACTGCAGCCATTGCCAATTGGGAAGCATCAGAGAATCCATGAAGTTCCACTTGCGAGTCGCTCCACGTGTTGAGCCACCGTGGTATTGAGAGCTTGGCCAAGCTTGTGAGTTCTTCTCTGATGATGAGCCACCGGGCTGAGAGCTGGGATGGCAGTGGATCATCCCATTGGAGCTTGTGCAGCCACAGCTCCTGCAAGAGAATTTTGGCCTTGATCACGACGGGTGATGCAAAGCCAAGTGGATCGAATATCTGAGCCACTTCAGATAAGACGAGGCGTTTTGTGAGTCTGCCTTCCGAGCGAGAGCTTCGGGGTGAGAATGCAAAGGTATCTTCTTGAGGGAGCCATTTGAGTCCGAGTATCTTGGTTGCGCAATCGTCGAAGGTGATTTGTGAGCCTTGGTCTTCGCTGTCGGTGACAGTCTTTAGTGTCGAGATGAGTTGCATGCCATTTTGCTAGTGGGAAGCCGCCCGCCATGCAGAGGCCCTTTAGTTGATGTGCGATCTCCTGCAACTGTTGTATTGTATCTGCACCACCAACTATATCATTGACATACCTGCCGTGAGTGATAACTGGCACAGCCAGTGGGAAACTATGTCCTTCGTCCTCTGCTAGTTGTAGTAGCGTCCGTACGGCCAAGACCGGCGCGGCCTTGTCCCGTAGGTGACTGTTGTCAGATGATATGGCACTTCATTGAGTTGATCGTCCATCCAGAGTATCCGTTGCAACTCCCAGTCCTCCTTGTGAACTTTGATCTGCCTGTGCATCTTGGTGATATCCGTAGCGGAAATGTGACGATGTCTTCGTATCCAGAGGAGAACATCTGAAATATTCAGATGCAATTTCGCTCCAGTGTACATGAGGTCGTTAGCAGAGTAGCTCGATGTGGATGCGCGGGAGCCATTAAATACGACTCGCAGCTTTGTTGTTGTACTGTCAGGCTTGAGAACACCGTGATGTGGCAGGTAGAAGTGTGAGCGACGACTGGAGATGGATGATGCCTTCGTCATGTGGTTGAGTGTCTCGTACTCAATCATGAATTGTTGATAGAGACGTTGATCATTCACATCCCTTGAGAATCGTCTGCGTAATCCCTTCAGACATTGATGAGCGACGTTGTAAGAATCACCCAAAAGATCGTCTGGTGAATTGAGTAGAATCCTGACGATGTACCTCTCTGAAGAATCACGAGAGTGTGTAGTATTGAAGTGCTTCTCGCACCTCTGCTCGTTAGGAGTGAGCTGAGTGACATCGTGAGTAGGCACCTCCTCTTGATTCCAAAATTTCGTCAATAACTCATTAAGAGCATCCTCGTTGAATTGAGTAGCAGCATGATGCGTTGATGTGCGTCTTGCTTCTCTGTTCACTGGTCCAAGAACGAGCCATCCGAAAATGGAGAGTTGCGCTATCGGCATGAGTGGAGAATGCCTAATGATATTGGGCTTGATGACTTGCCCGTAAGCGTCTGCGCCGATGAGGATGTCAACAGGCCGCGGGATGAGACAGTCTGGATCGGCAAATGCCAAGTTTCTGAGATGCGGCCATTCTTCCGGTTCTGCTTCGAAATATGGCACGATTGTTGTAACTGTCCGGAGGACATGAACTTGAATTTTGGCAGTTGAGTTGGAAGGTGTCGAGCGTAGCGTGAGTGACACGACTCCTCGTGTCCGAGTACACTCCTTGCCTCTTCAATAGAAATCTCTGCAGGGGACTCCGGGAGAATTTCTGCGATGGCCTTGAGAGTAGAGATCCGACCCAGCTGCGTCTGCACCTTCAGGGCAAGTTCCGTGGAGAGCCGAACCGGAGACGTCGTCCTCGAGGATAAGCGATCTCCCGGCCGCAGTTCCCGTTGCTGAGTCAGTCACCGGGCGGTCCGTCTTGCCCGTTTATGATCGTCCGACATGGTGAGATGACACGTGAGAGAGCCGTGGCATCACATGATCGATAAGTGCCACTGTGTATGTGAGCGCCGAGCGGAGATAATGAAGTCTCTCCACGTTTGTGAGCTGCTCGTTCGAGATGATCAGACTTGAGAAGAGATCTCGAAAGGCAGGTCATGCGGCATACTCCCCGGTGATGGGGAGTGAGATGTCCGGCAAGCGTGAGAGCGGCTGTCTGTTCTCGCCGGTCGATGAACTGGTCTGTGGTTGAGCGGGCTGAGCGGCTGCCAATGCGTGGCGAAGCACGCCGATGACTCGTCGCGCCTGTAGATAGCATCGTGACTCGGCCTGGTGAGCATTCTCGGCAAAGTACTCATGCTGAGTAAGTGCCGCAGGCCATGATATCTCGAAGTAGGCGTGCTCCTTGATAAATGCCTTGTGCGTCTCCTCGACCATCTGCTGGAACTGGGAGACCTCCTCGAGTGATGTCTCCGCTGGGACGTTAGGCAGGGATTCTGTGCGCTCCCTGAGCGTAGCGATCCGGCCCATCTGGGTCTGCACCTTTAGTGCGAGGTCCGTCGGAAGCCGGGCAGGAGACGTCGTCCTTCCCGACGTGCGGTCTCCTGGAGGCAGCTCCAACACAGGGGTTTTCGAGCGGTCCGTTATGCCAGTCTTCGTCTCGTCCGCCATGGCGAGAGAGCGTGAAAGTTAGCGATGAGAATCACGCGAGAGGATCGTGAAATCACATGAACAATGCGGAAAACCGTGTATGTGCGCGCCACTGATCACGCGAAAGGGCCGTGAGATCACTTGGTCGATGCGTACGACCGTATCTGTGCGCCGCCGATCACGTGATCGCCGTGAGGTTGAGCTAATCCGTCCGAGAGCCTCGCCGCAATCCGGCTCGAAGGACCAAAAAATGTTAGCGATTCTCTTTT